TTATCTAATACGTTCTCTATATTAATATTAATATTGTTATTTATATATTATATTATATATTATATTAATATTATATAGGTGACTCACGTAAGGTGTTACAAGCTAATAACTTTAAACATATTTGTCCTAAAAAAATTTGTTCGTGAGAAAGTTTCATATATTCGAGAGGTCTTTCTAACTACGTAAACAAAAATCCATTTCCGTCCCCCTTTGAAGAGGGGCGGGGGGAAACTTCAAAGTTTTAAATGGGACTCTCTATACAACGTTATATATTTGGATTCTATGAGAAAAAACAAGTAAACTTTGTCTGAAATATTTCTTTGGAAAATGCTCCTGTTAAAAGTTATAAACATTTAAACTTTAGTATTATGTAGATATGTAGTATATTTATGTAGAGTGCATTGAAATTAATGATAAATTAAATAAGACTTATAGTTTTTTGTTTTGTTTTATTTTATTAAATGTTCGAACTATTGACCATTAACATCTAAACACTTATTAATTCTTTTTACAAAACTTTGCCTAACTCTAAACAACACTTCTGGGGTCACCTTAGTGCAAGCTAAGAGTTAGGCAAAGTTTTGTAAAAAGAATTAATAGGTATTTAGATATTAATAGTCAACAGTTCGAACATTTAATAAAATAAAACAAAACAGAAAAACTGAGTCTTATTTAATTTATCATTAATTTCAATGCATTCTACATTAAAGTTTAAATGTTTATAACTTTTGATAGGAGTATTTCCCAAAGAAATATTTCAGACAAAGTTTACTTGTTTTTTCCCGTAGAATCCAAATATGTAACATTGTATAGGGGGTCCTATTTGAAACTTTGAAGTTACCCCCCGCTCCTCTTCAAGAGGGGACGAAAGTGGATTTTTGTTTACGTAGTTAGAAAAGCCCCTCAAATATATGAAACTTTCTCATGAACAACTTTTTGATAGGACAAATATGTTTAGAGTTATTAATTTGTAACACTTTACATGGGCCACCCTGTATATATTATATATAATATTCGATTTTTTTCTCTATATTTAAACTGTCGAAATACGCAATTTCAGGAACAATAGGCACTGCTATCGAGAAGTAACGGCTCTCATAAAGATAGTTAATCAGCATCGCGGATAAGAGGCAACAATGAGTTTACCCGTCTTCCTTTAAGCAGGAAAAGAAAGAAACTTGTATCTCTAGGCGTTCGTGTGCGCCTAAGAAGAAACAGAAAAAAACTGTTTGGCTGCTTTTAATGGCGTTATATTTTAAGTCCTTAAGTCACCAAGACCCGTTTCAAAACTGGTCTTTTTCATTCAAGGAACTGGTCGGAAAGAATGCGCTTTTGAAAAGCGCAGCTTTATTGACACTCGCCGCGACACTCGTGTGGTTTAATTGGCAATATCGTGACGTAAAAATCAACATGGTCAGTCACAAACTATTTTCACGCGTAACGATCGAAGCTTATACAATGTTGCAATAATTTGCCTATGGGGAGATTAACCATAGGCTGGTGGCTACAGAGACCAGACCAGAAGGCGAATCGCCGGCGGTGCGTTAAACGCGCCTGGTAACAATTTGTCAACTTCTGGTTCGACTGCTTGCTACCAGTTCTAAAGTTAGACGTCGAGAGTCTCGCAGCAACGCGTGTTTCACTCGATCATTCCTGAGGTTAAAACGCTTAAAGTGCCGCCGTGGAAATACAATGTAACGACTTTTCAAACTTTACCATATTTAAGATTAACTGTATTTAGGAATTCTTTAAATTTCTACTAAAACTCGTTCTTTTTAATTTTGTAACATAGTAAATATTTTAAATTTCTGAAATATGTCCCAATAGAACATATAAAACGCATATATTTGATTTAAACCATATTAAAACGTTTATGAAGTATGTCGTAATCTTCAAATTCGTGATCATTAGACGCGTACGGGAAATGAAGAGATCAGCGGGATTAAGATTTCTCTCGCTTTTGTTTGCGATTTCTGCAGAACCGACATGTATTACAGATCCTTCGCCTTTCAAGAGCGCAAGGCACGAAGAGCGAGCCATAGGAGTAGTCATGAGAGTCGAAAGGACGAGAACACTCGTCAGGGCGTGCCTTTCCGTGTTCCTTGCAGCCTTGCATCAACTTTCTCCGCATTGTCGGCGAGCTGGACGTTCCTCGCGTCCTTCGTGCCTCGCACTATAATGCTCAAGCGAATAATGATAATAACAAATAACGTCATGCAAAAAATAAGAGAAATAGAGCAACGCGGTGTATGATAACGGTGACGATAGCGACAATGCTTGAACGCATCGTTATCGCAGCACGTGCTTAACAGCAAGCGAAAAATATGTTTCACGCGCTTCAACGCGCTCGACCGGCCGACTTTCTTTTTAAATTGTCACCAAGTTGATCCAAGTTGATTCACAAACCCGTCCTTTCGTTATGATTAGCATAAGACGCGAATGGAATTTGTAATCGTTGATTCAGAGATGTCCTGTTATTATTGCATCGACATACGTGCGATCCGAATTCAAAACATGACAAGCCCGAGAGACCTGTTTTAATAGTTGTTACTTGAAATTCTTTTCAAGCGAGATTGCTCTTTGAACCCAAATCTGTCTCAGCTGAGGAAAGTTTCAAGTAACGACTATTAATACCGACTTTAAAGTGAAATTTCAAAAAGTAAGATGACTACTAAGTCACTCGAATAATTTTTCACTCATACAAAGGCCCATACCCATATTTTGAACTCTCTTTTATATATTTACTCATACATACCCATATTTTGAACTCTCTTTTATCGATAATAATGCCTTGAATGTAGCTTCTCAGCCAATCAGGTGGCTTCTAAGCCAATCAGGTGGCTTCTAAGCCTCTTTTAGAAGCGTTTTTATACATAAAAAAGTGAATATTCTTACGCAAAATTGAAGAATGAATCTGATGTACTTTACCGTCACTAGACATTCACTCTAATCGAATGTAACATTCGCTCATACAGAGTCAGAATCCACTCTAAACTCGAGTGAAAACTTCGCTGTTGCGATTTCGAGTGGCGATATCTTCGATATTACTTCAAGTGAAGACACTTCTCATTTGCTCTGAGTGAGATTCCACTCTAAGAAATGTAGAGAGTGCCAAGAAATATATAATATTGTTCGACAAGCGCTTTATTTAAAATAAATTATCGGCACTTTACACTGAAATATAACTAATTTTTTGAAACAGTCCTGTGGACAGTGAATTTTCTCGCATGATATCGTAGTCCCCCGTTCGAAATTTCTTCCGTTAACTCTTTCACGCGTCGGCACGTTGCGCTCTCCCGCCCGCGAGGCGGGAATTAGCATAATTCGTGAGCGGAATATCGAGTTCCGGATTAATACGATGTGTATGAGCACGACGGTCGCGATCGTGACACGGGCGGGTCACCTGGCCAGAAAGACAGTGCGGATTGGGTGAGAGACGTGCGAGAGACGTTTGCGATAGTCGTAACACATTCGGTGCCTCGATCGTCAAACGGTGATATCGACGACGGTAACGGTACGTCTTCCCCGTGTTACAGGCTCACGTCGTCGCGGGACAACCGCGCGCGCGAGGAACGCCACATGCACCTCCATTGTCCTCCCCGGCGATTGCACAAAAGAGATCTTCCGGCACGAAGTGGCAATTGGACTTTTGCGCACGACCGTCGCTTCTGCCGTCGCGCACGAACGTGCCAGGTCCCATTACATAAAAAGAAGCCACGATTAGACGCGTTAAGATAGTCGTTATCCCACGACGGTGTTACGTAACGCAGAATATGCGCATTCCGCGGATGCTGATGTCGGTGGCCGCGGAATAAAATAGTTATTATCCCACGACCGAATGCGATCCGCGGCTCCGATTTCCCCGCGAAGGTTCTCACGCTCGCCTACGCCCACTCCGAAAATTGACACTATACCGAGTGAGGAACCACGAGACCTGTCGAGAACTCTTCCTTGAGCGGTTTCCTCTCGAGGAAGAGAACGGAAGAGACCGAGAGGTTGCCGGGGTTGCCGAGAAAGGGAAGACCCTACGGCGCTTCGGTGAAGGAGAAGCAGAGTCATTCTAGACCAGACTCGCGTTCCCGCTAATGACTGTCATTTACCCAGTGTCGTTCGCGTGTCCTACAGCGCGTCCCGACGACTATCCACGTCTCAGCCGCGTTCATGTTGCGCATAATCTTTTCAATGTCCGACGGGGAAGATGGATTCGCAGCGTCATTAGCGATGTGTCCCTGTTCAGCTTCATCTCGGTTCGACTTCGCCGTATGACTGGCTCTCTCTCTTTCTCTCTCTTTCTCTCTCTGTTTGCATCTCTTTTTGGTCTTCGCGCCCGTGGAATTCCTCGCGACTCCTCCACCTTTACCTGACGTTCCTTGGCGCACCACCTCCGCTTCCTCAGCTCGCTTGCCTGCCTTCCTTCCTCGTGCCGGCGGCGCGCGGTGCGCCAGGTGTGGTCATTAATTTCACAGCGAGGTGGAAAAAGGTCGGCGGGGCCGAACAAAGGTACCGAGTCGTTCGTTCATTCGTCCGTCGAAGCGAGGGGGGAAAATGAGGATCTTTGCGAGACAATTACTCGCGAAGGTGAAATAAGACCGCGATGGTATTACAGCGACGCTTCTCGTTGGGCGACGGATATAGCCGTGCCGACGAGAAAACGTACGAGACGAGCGGCGGAACGAATGTGGGAGATATCTGAAATTTCCTTGCTGCCCGTTCGGCTTCATTTTTCCGACTAAGATAATGAGGCTCCGAACGAAGAGATTCGTCGAACAAGCCATATTTAACCTTTTTGAAAAACGTCTAAATAAAAGACAATAGCTACGCTGAGAATTAATCGGCGTGCTTTACAGCGGCGTAGTTTGAACATTCGCGCCAGTCGCGTTCACGTTTTGACTTTCAGTAGAAGCCCTTGAACTGGGCAATCGAATTCACGTCGGCTGCATTTCCCTGCTCGACTCCGGCGTACGAAATGGCGTTATTTATATGCATCCTTTTTACGACAGGTCCGGTGGCTCTTCCAGCGCGTCAAGTGCTGGCACGGGATCATCGACCGGTGGAGGTCCTGGGAACCCGGCAGGAGGCAGCAGGATGGCCGTCATTGGCGTGACCAGGAACGTACGACTGAGGCGTCGCGGTAACGCCGGCTTCGGATTCTCCTTGCGGGGTGGACGAGAATACGCCGCCGGGTTTTACGTCAGCGACGTCCAGCCAGGCGGCGAAGCCCATCGGAACGGATTGAGGGTACGCACTCTTTTTGCGATCGCGATACCTCTAATTCTCCTTCGCGACCGCCAGACATGACACGGCAATCTCATTTCCCGGCTAACGGTTTCGGCACTCGAGTCTTGTGTCGCTTTCAGGTGGGCGATCAGATCTTACGTGTGAACGGATACCCGGTGGAGGACGCGGTGCATCAGGAAGTCGCGTTGCTGGCAAAGAATCAGCAAGTGCTGGTGCTCAAAATTCGAAGTAACTATCTCTGTATCTTAATTATCTCCAGCGCGAAGTTACCTCGAACGTAAATCAGTTCTCTACGCTGTGTACGAGATAGCCTCGCGTTTCGGAAAGAAAAGAAAAATAATTAATAACAGTAGTGCGTACGCGCAATAATCTCTATCTCGTTGCTGATAGCGGGAACTTATGACTTTCGATTTGTATTGCAGGCGTAGGGATGATACCCGTGAAGGAGTAAGTATCGAAACTTAATTAAAATCTTGCGCGAATATCTCTCTTTCTCTCTCTTTTTTTCTCTTTCTTTCTCTTTCTGCGCATCTTAACGTTCGCATTCGCGCGATGCATCCTCTCGTTTTACAAAAATCCTTTATGATTCGCAAAGCAACCCGAACGATCCGGTTACTTGGCACATGGTGCAGCAACAGCAACAGCAGCTGCAATACAACGAAACTGGTTTAGGTGGCATCCCGAGCGCAGAAGTCAGAATTCGGATTCTCGTTGGCGAAAAGGGTCGCCTGGGCTGCGGCGTTTGCCGGGGCATCGTGCCTGGTCTCACTGTTCAGGTTGATAGCAATTAATATTGCTTACGTCACATAAGAACCAACAGCTTCCTCGAGAGTTTTCACCTCGCGTTGAAACATTTTCTCCGTTTTGAATATGATTAAAGAAATTCGTACGTATGTCGTGTTAGGAACAAAGAATATCTATCTTTGTGACTAAATGCTCGCACGTGGACACAGTCTTTAGGTTTGTTCTTTTCAACTGCACTGCTGCACTGGTATAATAAGTTAAAGTAAAATAAATATATTTTATAAATATATTTTATCTCACTTTTTTTAAATTTATTGCATCTGTGTAACAGTACATCTGAACAGACCACATATATCTTTTAATATACTTTCAATCAACATATTAAAAAAATAATGAACATAAAACAAAAATGAGTCAGGAATGAGCTTGATTGGAGCAACAGGATATATTCTTCAAAAAATCGAAATTGAATATCCCCAAACTGCTAATTTTCTCATCTTATTCATTAGACTTTTATATCTTCTAATTGTAGTTTTAAATCAACATACCCGAGAAATAAAGAACGTTAAATAAACACGAATCAAGAATGAGCCTGATCGAAGCAATAAAGTTACATCTCGCTAAAGTCGGGATTTAACGTCTTGAGTGTTACGTCTTATGAAATTTGACGAAACTGCGGACTAATTTTCAACGATTATTATTTTTTATTTAATAATATGTTACTAATATATTAATAATACTTAATTTATAAATATATTATATAGCCGAAACCACATATGTTTATAAAAGTAAAAACTAAAACGATTAATCATTCGTACTTGGCATAAATCTCTTGATATCATTACTTTTGTAGAAAGTATAAAATTGTCTTTAATTTTTCAATAGAGTATTTGCGAGAATACAATTGAACTGAATAAGATTGTTTTAATAATATTTTTAAAAATATCTTTTAACTGAACTTTTGTTGTAATTTATTTATAACGATCTTTTTTTGTAAGGACAAATAATGCTAATGCGTGCACTTGGCTTCTTTTTTATACTTTTTTTAAAAATGAAATTTGACAAAACTGCGGGCTAATCTTCAACGAATATAAACGTTTAGGGCACGAGGGAAGGCGGGCCGGCACGTGCGGCCGGTCTGAAGGCCGGCGACGTAATAATCTGGTGCAACGGACAGCGACTCACCGATCTGCCGTTCGAGAGGGCCATCGAGGTGATGCGCAGCTCGGCGATCCTCGACCTCGTGGTGCAACGACCTACGCCCAATCACCTTTACGACTGTCCCGAGCCGCTCTGGACGCGCGGCTCCAGCGGTTACGACTCCGAGACGTCCAGCGTGGTGGCCGCGAGCCCGCCGCCCCAGCCGAGCAATCCGTCGTCCTCGCCGCAGCATCAGCACCAGGACGGCAGGATGCATCAGCGGTACCCGCGCGACGACGCCTGCAACAGAAACGGCAGGTCAGCGTTACAGTCTGATGATTAGCGGCGATGAAGTGGAAGGAAAGGGAAAAGAGAAAAAATTGTGACACGAAGAAGGCTTCCGATCGATTCGAAATCACGCGAGATATTAATACACGTGTGCGCCGATCGCGTCGCGGACTTCTCGAAACGGATGGAACGCACGACACGAAATGACAGGCTGCGAGCGTCGCTCGATAATCGACATCGCGCTACCGATCGCAATTACCGATCGCACCGGTTCCGTTTATCATTGCGCAAATCGCTTTTGCGACGCGCAAAGAGTGGCCGCGTGACTCTTATCCGCGGCACTCGCTACGTATACGTAGATATATATGTATGTGCACGTGCATACACAGAGCTAGCCGGTCGCGAGCCGTTATCGGGTGCCATCAATGAATTTACACCGGGAGAAAGTCGGTCCATTAATAGGACATTTCGCGATAAGAATCGCCAGAGCCGGCGAATTCCTTGCCGCCACGTAAACATTCATCCTGTTCCTCGTTGCCGGCCTCCTCGCAAAAATCCCCGTCCCGCACGAATTCCGTTCTTTAGAAGTCGGACTAGCTTGCGTAATCAGCCGCGCGCGAACACGTATATAAATTCTGTCTTGATTTCCGGGATATGTTGCAGAATGTGCTGTCCCCTAGCGCTGTCTACTAGCAGTTGCAGCTCCTCCTCGGATTGGGCGCACGTGGAGCAGGTAAAGGTTTAATACGAAACTTTCCAACGCGATTGCGTTATATAGAATTAATTTGAAAAAAAAGATCTTTCGGCCGCATGTTAGCAGACCGCAGAGTTGATGAAATCGACTATATCAATCTTCTATAATAAATTGTACTTGATCTTTTTAATGTTTGTAGCACATACACGCGCACAAAATAAGATATAATCTAAAAATTTTTTTGTTGATATAAATCTATATAATATAATAATAATAATTTAATAATAATATAATAATAATAATTCATATAAATACAATTATATTTTTTGTTTATATATATACATTCTAAAAAAATTTTTATTATATTTCTTATTGCTCACATTTATTTCTCATTTTTACTATTAGCTGTCGTTTATATTTAATAATAATAAAGAAATTGACGAGATGCGATTTAAGAGACCGCTACAATTTTGATAATTCTTCTTTGTGCCTTTCTTCCTTTGAAAAGAAATGTTATAATCGAATTCCCGCGTTTAAATTGCGCGCGTGCCGAGGATAATTATAAAAAATCGTCAGACTTTTCGAAAGCAACATATTAAATTGCGTATCTGCAATTCTGCTGTAATTCTTATAATATTAATCAAATTATATTTTCCATCACACATACGCGCATCACGTATTCGTCTCCAAACTGCAATTCGCTCTGTTTCCACTTCTATAAAACGCGACAAAATATGGAAACAGAGACGGAGAGACTGGGCATCCGAACTTGACTCCGACTTGACGTGACCGTTTTTTAGGCGCCGGAATGGACGCGAAAACCGAATAACACGACCGTAATTCGTGTTAATCAGAGCTCGAACCAGAACCAGAATCACCGGCCTGTACCAGGCGGTCAATATCATTACAACCCGCGCGGCAATTATGAAGATGACATTGACAACGAACCGCTTTACGATCCGGTGGCGCCTAGGATCGACTACGAGGTACACGATTTCGATGCGAATCCACGGGATGAGGCTAATCGGCGCTTGGCTTATCGGCGAGATAACGTGCGACAGCAAGACGTGATTTACGACGGCCCCGCGGACGACTTGTCCATGTATCACAGCTCCAAAGTAAGACGTTTCGTAAGATCCGCTTTCTATTATCGAGTAGTTTCTCACGCTTGAGATATTCGCCGGCTGAGTGATTGCACAGACCGGCTGAATGAAATAAGCGAGACGTATTAACGCGCCCCGTGGATGATTCTGCGTCCAGGAAGACGGCCAAGCGGTCGGCAATCGATTGGCAGACCTGCAACTCATGCAAAGACAGAGCGAAGCCGAGAGGAAGACGATAACGACCGTGGAAGTGCATCAGTCAGTTTGTCCACCTGCACCGCCTCCGCCGCTTCCTTACAAATGGCCAGCAGGTTTGACGACTTTTCTCTCGCGGCATCATTGGAATAACAATAGGACACGGTATTTGCGAGCGAGCGAGCGAACGCCGCACTGAAAGAAATTCTCCCCTACCTAATGATCATAGCAATCCATCTAGGAACATAGATCTCTGGAGGTCAAAAGTTCCTTACGCACGCGTAATTTTTTCACAAATAGATATTTTTACTTGAAATGTATCTCGAGCCTCCAAAATTATTATTATGAAATTATTTCATCATTAATAATGACCACATTAATCCTCGGTATGCCGTATGGAGTCAGATAGATCCCAATACATCTTTAAATTTCATGTCAATTTTACTCTAAATTTTAAACTTTTTATTTCAAATCCATTTTAAACAATACTTTCAGTAAAAAATTATCTTGTTATTACTTGATATTACTTATATTCCTGTGACCTATTATTATGTACAAGAATGATGTAACACATTAAACATCATTTAATTTGATATTAACTTTCAAAAATTTTTATCATAAAAATCATAAAAATAATTCTTTTATTTATTAAATAAAAACTGTGTTACTAAGGTCACTTCTTCAAGGCCTTACTGAAGTAGATAAGTAGACAGAATTTCTCCATATTGCAGAAATCTGCCATTTTAATTGGAGTTTTCCCCATATGGCGTTTTGTTGTCCGACTTGGCGTTCGAAGGCGTACAATTAATAATGCTGTCTACGCTTAATGTTCCGTCATGAATTCTAATTTCAGATTTAAGATGGATTCGTCTCTGAGACGTTTCATGTCATTACAATTATTCGAATCATCCTGTATATCACGCATCGTTACAGAGACCAAACCGATGAATGCTATGGGCATGCAAATGGGCAGTACCATGTCGATGGGCAGCACCGGCTCCACGGAAACTGAGTCGAGCCTCGAGTCGTCCTGCAGCAAGGACTCCGCGTCGACATCGTCGTCGCTGTCGACATCGTCGTCCTGCGAACCCGCGTCCACCGTGTCGTACGGATCGGCTACCGGCGGGTCCAGCAGCGTCGCCAGCAAAACGGAGACTTCAACGGCCGCATACGCGACGGCGCGCAATTGCACCGCCAGGACCTCGCCGATCGCCAGCACCGATTTGAGCACTGCTATCACGCAGGAGTTGCAGAGGCGAGCACAACAGGTACATCTTGGTCGTCGTCGTTGGACAAGACGGAGGTTGACGACGATTTGGCGAGATTGCGAGCAAACTTTGCGGAAATGCGAGTGAAAAATTTGTTATCATTTAGGGCAGGGCTCGGCGTCAAGAAAGTGACGGTCGTGCCTCTGAGCTTGGAGCCGCAATTAGTCGCAACCGTTACTTTCTAGACCGCCGCGCGGCAAGGGGGAGATAAAAGACGTAACTCCCAAGAATCGGCCGAAATTGGCAAACTGTTCTGAGCCCTGATTTAGGGAGTTGTAACTTACAAAAGGAGGACGAGTTAAGGTCAGTTCGACTCGAAAGACGAAGGATAAAACCTGAATCGCGCCTGCCTACTGATTATTTTAATGACAGAGTTATGTTATCGTTGTATTGTCGTTACGCAGATATAATAGAGAAGCTGCGCAACACGATACATCATGCTAGTAACATCATCGTTAGAAAATTATAGAGTCAGACTACTGAGACTTCATTGAGAAAAAGATATATGAAAATTTATTTGTGATATATAAAGTTTATCTCTGAGAAAAAGAAAATTTATTTCTGTGAAGTAAAATTTTTACTTATCTGTGAAACAAATTTTCGTCCCACACAAATAAATGTTCAAGTATATTTTCTCAATGTGGATATAAAATTCTTACTACGCATTTCTATCATAACGTATGCACGCTATCGCGTATATCATGATCGCTATATTTCTTATGTTTTTTCCGTCTTACTTGTGGAATGTATTCGTAATTTCTCTCCGATCTCTCTCCGTTGTTGTTGACCCTGATACTTGCGATTAATCCGCTTATCTGTGCTATCTTTTAGTTTAGTTTTTCATACCTATCGCGACAGGAAATTATGAGCATTATCGACGAGGTGAAGAGCACTCCAGTCTATATCAAGATATAATGAGTTGCAGAAAAATTTTAATCTCCCGTCGTTCATGAACAAGTGGATTATACTTTATCTTTATACGGGAAACAAGTTTCTCGAAACTGTAGTTACGCGCACTCTGCAAAAGTACCTATCTCTACAAATTACACGGGAAAAAATGTCGGAAATGATTCGTAATTTGTTTGTAATTACGTTTGCTCGATGTTTTCAAACGCCTCGCGATCATGTTTTGCCTCGCTCATTCATTAATGTTACGTATTACTTTGTTTCCTCCACAGAGAATGAATAATGCCGCTAAAGCGGAAGCGCCAAAGGAAAAAACTCCGGACAATCGCAAGCCTCAGAATCCTGAAGCTTTAAGGTCGCAGGAGCAAAAAGTCACACACGATAAGGTCAGTCGACTGCAATTCTATGAGTGTATTGTTACTTCTTCATAATTAACAAGTTATCTATGTACTTCGCATAGAACACGACATGCGACAATAAAAAATCTCATATAATTGAATTTACATATAACGTAGACCCTTCTGACTTATATTATCTACTATATTTATATTATCATTCCACTATATATATTATATACATTATTATTATATTTATTATTTATTATTTATTATTTATTATTAAAATAAATGAACGCAATCAACGCGACTCAACCTAACGATTACGTGGAAACACTCGCTCGGGGGACTTTCCAAAATCCCGAGCCTTGCGGAATTAATTTTACCCTCGAAACGAAATATATATTTATATTTATTATTATATTATTACTATATTATTTATTATACTATACTATACTATACTATATTACTATATTATTACTATATTTATATTATTATTTCAAGTTGAAAGAAATATGTTATTCATCATAGTTTCGAGTCACAACGAGTTTAAATTGACTCTTTTCCCCGCAGCTAATGGAGGAGTTTAAGCGTGCACACCAAAAGATGTTCAATTCCGCTCAGCAAAAGGCTCAGTCCGCGGATCAAGCTTCTGAGAAGGTGAGAAACGATAAATAATTCCCGGTGATTAAGCCGTTTACTCTAAAAATTGCACGACAGATTAATCTCGTTCCACGTGTGATAACGCATGTCGCAAGAAATCTCTCGCGAAATTCTGCTGGGCTTTGCACAAATCAAACTCACGAGTGTTCATTTCTGCGACGACTTCGTCGCACGAAATTCAAAATGCATGACGTTTTAACTTTCACGCGATAACAACAGTCCACCTGATGGTGTAGTACCATTCAGTGATAAGCATATCTTCGGGACTGATTAGTGACGTAATGCATTGCACGAACTGCGATCGTGCGATGCCTTCACGCTGTATGCGTCGATGCACTTGTTGTTTGAAATTGGGAGCTTACCAAATTTAAAATTAAAAATCATTAGGAACGGACTTGGGCAGTAATAATATAATTGAAAACACTAACAAACTAACAATAATAATAAATAACCATAATATTAATAACTAATAATAATAATAATTAATAATATAATTGACGGGTAAAAACCCGTCAGTAACGACTCCCAATTTTGACAGTTTGGTGAACTCCTAGCTTTGTTACGTCTAAACAATTTTGCAAGCCGCTATACCGTTGGCGAAGAATTAACTCGAGCCACTAACAAATTCAGCTGAATCGCAACAGAGCGAGAAATTACGCCTCGATTATAACTGAGATAATAAAATTTCATGTCAAATTTCAAAGTAAAACTAGAATTTCAGTGTAAGACGAACTATAGCGCGAAATTATACATCACGTATGCATGATATTAATTGCGATGACGAGCGAAAAATTAACGCAATCAATGCGACTCGACCTAACGATTGCATGAAAACACAGCTCGCTCGGGGGACTTTCCAAAATTCCGAGCCTCCCCGCAACCGCATCGCGGAATTAATTTTACCCTCGAAACGAAACAGACCAAACAGTCTTAAACATCAAAAGTCCGGGCCAGACTCGAGTACTTTTACTTCGCTCAAAAAGTCTTTCGCTTCGAAGCAGAGCTAGCAGGCGCGACTCGAATAGCGCGCGCTCTTAATTACACAACCGCATAAACAAGAATCCGCCAGTGCAAACAGATAAGAACACGAAATTATGAAGGCACCAGAATAGTCATCGTGTCGGCGTGGCGCGTGCAGACTACGCAGTGATGTGCGTGTGTTTAACGCGTACGTACCGGCGCGTCTGTCCGGACATACGTACCTGCAGACACGCATACTAGTTGCGGCTGGTATTGTTGAAACGACGAGAAAGATAGCGAGCAGTTTGCGTCTTAAAGTCACGTACATTCCGGCGTTCTGTTTCAGTTCTTGTATTACCGCGCGCGTGATATTCGCGTCGCCAATCGACCGGTATACGAGTCGAGAAAACGTGTTTACAAATTAATGATCGTTGAAAAGTGCGAGTGCGAGTCATCGCTTGGGATACGTGTATATTTCGTTCTACATGCTATTAAGACAGCTCGACGATAATACGAAACTCCCACTGTATACTGAGAGTAAGAATATCTAAAAAATAAAACATTCAGTAGATGCTAATAACATATTTTCTTAAATCTTTTTATTTAAATAGAATAAACAATCGCTTGGATGAAGAAGTTTTAAGAAAATGTATGTTTCCTTATTTGGAAAATATTTTATATTGATACAAATAAATATGTTAGTGCCCACCGCGGAGATATGTTTCTATTTCTCAGATTTTTTTTCTCTCGGTGCATAAGTCCGTTACGGACTTAGAAGACCAGCGATTATTTAGAAGCGGTATTTAGAGAGTGATTAAAAAAAGGAAAAACCAGCGGCGATTGTGTGTTTATAGACCCGCAGAGCTTTTCTGTAATTTCTTAACACTCTTGCGTTATAACTGTAACGCAAGTGAGCGTTACGCGTCGCACAGATATAACACATCAATACAATAGGTGCGCAACGACGTTCGACGATAACGATATTGTCGTTAAAAGTTACAGAACAAGCACACAGGTGTGCTCACACCACACACGACGACTCCGTGCTACAATATGCGCGTGGAACGCCCAAGTTCAGATATTATTATTTGAGAAATATCGTTTTATTGTCGATAAATCACTGCTTGCCGATTTTTCGCCGATCAGGCGACGACTCGTTCATTACACAAGCGAGAGAGGCTGATTAGCGGTCTCGGTTTGTCGACGGCTCACCGCCTTATCGTCCATTAATCACCGTTATCGGGCGCGCTCGCGAATTCAACGATGACTACAATCGTCGGCGGCAGTCGGTCGCGATTTCGTCGTGCCGTGCAGACGACGATCCGGCGGTGCGCCTAGCTTGGCGAAGCGCGACGCGAAGAGCAACGTCTTCGTCCGCGTCGGCGCATTTTTCTTTCGCCTTCGGTTCGACGGTTTCCTACTGAATTGCGGTAGACGTGCAAAATAATAGGTGGTGTTACATAAGAGCGCCGGAGAGCGGCGTAACGCACGTTCTTGCGCGCGTTTCTTCAGTTGCCCGACGAGTCGTGGTCGTGTCGCGCGATCGGCGGGCTTTAAGACGGCCGCCGGTGAATTACCGCAAAACGCGAGATCGTGCGATCCTGCAGTCGTAATTAGACGAAAAGGAAAATAAGGACGCGCACGCGCGCGCACGTGGAGAACGCTCGCGCCTCGCTGTAGCGGGAAACGTTAGAAGAGACTTAAACGCCGTGAAAAAGACAGAGAGTGATAGAGAGTTTTTTTCCAACCAGTACTAAGAGAAAAAATTTGATTGATTTAACTAAGATTACAGTTATTTTGGGCCTCAACTATATATTTGTTGGTCGTTCTGACACGAAAACGATAATGACAGCATATATATAAGGTTTGTCGCAACATTATCGTAGAATTGAATAATCTTTTTTTCTTGACGATCACATTTATAGTAATTGTTTCTCTGTGCGATTATAGTTACAAATATCAAATCATTTTTTCTCAGTGTACTGACAACTGCGTGCTTCAGGGAAAGTGAATTCGCAATTGTGACTTTTGAAATATCTGTATCGTTGCGATCGAACAGAGGGTATAAGAAGAACGTACAAGTGGCCAGGTGAAATCAACCTAACCCAAGCTGCCGCACTGACTCTCTATTCTCACCGTCAGTTATATACTTTGCAAGTACTGCGAAATAATCAACTATAACAGAGAATAATATGCGACTGTTTATTGGGTGTAAAAAGTACGGCACTAAAAAAGATTAGACAATTAATACACGGAGGAAGGGAAAAAGTCGAATACATGACGTGTTAAATCGCGTTGAAGCTAGTGTGTATGCGTGTGTGTGCATAATTTACGACACTTGAAATCGCGAGTATGGATAAGCGACATTTAAAGACGAATACTGCAGGTGATACGACGATGAGGAAACAAGTGCTTGTCACGATCACGCCTTACAACGTTAGTAATTTCGTATAAACGATTTAACATTCAACTACGGCTTAATTTCGAGCACGAATGTTTGAGGATAACTTATTAACGCATTTATTATACATTAACAGAAAAATTCATGGTAATGGCAACTATTTAGGTGACAACTATACGAGCTTTGTATGTAGAATCGATGTATACAATTTAATAAACTATTTCGTAACTATCGAACCTGATTAAGAGAACTATATAGAGAATTAGAGAACTATATATAGTTCTGTATTCAGCTTTAGTTGTTATTATACAGTAGGTTTATTAAATTATATATTCTGCATACAAAACTCATTTATCACCCATTATATAATTACCACCACCATATATTTTTTTCCGAGGATACATTCAATATTTCCATATCAAGATAGAAGATATATTTTAAAATCGCACAAATCTATTCCAAAGAAAATAATATTGTAAAATATACCTAATATTGAAAAAAGAACTACTTAACGCTGAAAGAAATATAGTAATTTTAATTTCTAATCTTATCTCTATTTATACGGAGAACGTCGTTGTTTCATAAGACGTCCCAGCTTATTTACGCTTCATAAACGTCTTATTTAATTAGCGTATCAACTGATATTACGTCACGCCACATTTTCAGGAGCAAGAGAAGAGGATACTCAATGGGACCTCGTCAGCAACAACGTCGACATCGACGGGTGCTCCGATACCGCCACCAGCGCCTCCTCCACTTCCGCTTCCCTCTAAAAGTCGCGGCAACGACGACTCGGTGGAGATGCAAAGCATCGAGTCCTTCAAGCTGAAGGAGACGCCCAACACGGTACCGAAGCCACCGCCGACGTACTTCCCAGTGTCGAGCCCGTCCGCGGCCCCGAACGGGAGTCCGCGTCATATCGGAGGAAGTAAGCCGCCGACGTCCAACGGCAAGGACGCCGCGACGAGCCCGGTCGCGGAGTTCGCCAAGACTTCGCCCTCGTCAGCCTCGCCGACCAACGGCGCTCAGCCGGCGAAATCGACCATCGGTGGCAAGGTGGCCATTAGGATAGGCGCGTACGAGGGCGAGACCAAGCAGCCATCGAGACTGGAATTCTTGTCGCAGCAGACGCGCGAGAAAAACGGCACCGACGACGCGTCCACTAACGGTCCGGTTGTGTCCAGGCTGCAGAACGAGCTCGCGGCGACCCTACAAAGGTCGAATCTCAGAAGAAAGACTGAAGGGGTAAGCCATGGACGTAGTATACATGGACCCCGCATATGGCCAGAAAAGTGAACCCAACATGTAGAAAGAGATCATAAATATAATATATATAGACTCCGCATACAGTCAGAAAAGAGGAGCCAATATGTACAGCTCTTCTGTTTTCTGTCTCTTTCTGCACAGACAAAGTGTGCAATAAGATTTAAGTAAGACGTTTACTTGCCAGTCTAGAGGTGCTGTTGCGCTCTATAATATTATAGAAATGAGAAATGGATGCACACGCAACAAAAAAGTGACAAAATAGGAAGAAAAGTATAGTCCCTCTATTCTCGCTCTCTTTGTAGATGTTGGCTTCACTCTATTAGACGACAGAACATAGGATATTCGGAGTCCATGTATACTATGTCCATGGGGTAAGCGACATTTCACGACGACGTAAAGGTCAAGTGACCAACGAAGCTCGTTACGAATCTCGATTCTAACGATTTTTCAAAGTCATATTTTTCCCTGAAACGATTTTCCCTGAAATTTTTGCGCGGGATTTAGTGATCGATTATTTTTCCCAATAAAATTATTAGGTTATTTCCTTTCTATCTTTCCTTTTCATAGAGATAAGATACGCGGAGAATGTAAACATTTTCCCGTTTCAGGAGAATCAATCGCCCGTGAAGACCATTCCCGAGAACGCAGTAACGTCCAGCAGCGATACAACGAATTCAGACTCGAACAAACATTCTCATGGCAGCGTTGAGAAGCTCGCCTCCACCCTCAACAACAAAGTCACCATTAAAGTGAATCCGGAAAACGGTAGTCGATAAAAGTGCAATGTGCGAGTTCAGTCGAAAGGACGTAGAGAATGGATCCTTGTACCTTCGTAAATTTTGTACATTTTTGCACGTTCCGCTAACTGTTTCGACTTTATTATACAAGTGAAAAGGCGCTCCCGCTATTGGTGAGGTTCTTTTACACACGTACGTGTTTTTTATATCTTATTTATTATCGTATTATATATACACTTCGAGTAAGGAGCAAAGGAGCTAATTCTTATTAACCGAGACAAGGTATTACGACCAGTATTTACCACGTGGTCCCTGTCTTTAAATGTAATCTACTGCGCGATCGCGGCTATGTACGAATCTTAACAGAAAAAATTCGACGATACGTTGAATTTCTAAATAAAAACGACGATACGTAATACTTGGTTTTCCAACTGTTTCTCGATTTCCTAAATTAATACATATCAACCGATAAAATTTATTAAATATATTAAAAATACCATGTAAGAATTTCAGAAGATTGTAGATCAAAGATGGGCGATGACCGACTAATCAATTTCTATATCGATAGTTTTTAATTTGATCAGATCCTGAGTCGAAATGTCGATCCTACATTCTTTAGCTATACAAGCTATTGTCTCACCTTGATGACAAATAGTTACTGTCTTTCCCAGGTAACAGTAATTTATATAATTGCTATTTTTGGCTTTATAATTCCTCTTTTCTCATTCCTTCTAAGTTTGCAAATTTTGTTAAATTTTAAATTCTAATAAGAAAAATAATAAGGGAGAGATTGTGAAAACAGAAAGCTTGTTGTGCTCTTTATAAATATTAATTCCTTAATAATTATTTATCGCATATATCTTATTTTTGTCTGAATATACTATATAGCTATTTTTCAACTATTTTTCTCTGAATATACTAGACAGCTAACATATTTCTTATTAAAATCAAGAATAAAAATTAAATGCAGGGAAAAAGAGTCGAGTATTAAAAATCTCTTACATAAGTGTTTCTTCAAGTCTCAGTATGTATAATTCCAGGTAGCAAGATGACGTCAAATTACATATTAGTAACGTTTCTAACATCAATAATACATTATTAAGACGTCTTTTTGCTACCTGGATTTCTATATGCTAAGGCTTGAAGAAGTTTTATGTAAAAATTTTATATATATACAATGCAAGAAATACTGTGAGTCATATATATATATATGACTTTCACAGTATTTCTTGCATTTTCATCCTTAATTTTAATAAGCAATGCATTAATCATATTCAACTATAGATAGAATATGTGCGATAAGCAATTATTAAGTAATTAATATTCGTAAAAAGTATAACAAACTTTCTGTTTTCACAATCCTTTCCTTATTGCTCTTCTTATTAGTATTGAAAATTTCAATAGAATTTGGATACATAAAAAGAGTGAGAAGAGAGGAGTTGTAAAGCCAAACATAGTAGTTCCATAAACACAAATAAAAATTTAAGCTTGAATCCCATAACAATAATAAAGAAGACTTCAAGACTAAATAGAAAAAATCTGCATTGATAAATTCAAGGTATAACTTGTGTTCTAAGAAGTATTATTAGGAAAACAAACCTCAGCACTTGTATAAACTGGTATTTATTTATTTAAACTGGTATTTATTTATTTAAACTGGTATTTATAGTTGCAAATTATTTACAGTCTTTAATTGAGAATATAATTAATTATATAGAGTCAGATTCGAGTTTTTCAATTGAATTACGATAAATGCGACATCTATATCTGTAGCTGCGATTCAATTAAAAAAACTTTCATCTAAATCTGAATTGAAGTCTGAATATCTCAACTAAATTTTAAGTGACTATTAAAACGAATCTAAAAAACTGAACGCTACTTTCTATGTGAAATAAATATAAGTTAACGGATGATCAGAGATTTATAGAGTTCTGATTATCAAATCATAACGAATCCGTGAATACCGATCAAAGTAGAGTCTAAATTTTAATTCAGGCGTTATTCCTTTATTCTTTATGGTGATTTCACCAAACGTCCGTTAAAATCAGAAACATTCCGCATAATAAATGATCTTATATACCTGGTATTAAATGTATATGTCGTCGCCCGTGTCCTGGCGTTCTGTGTGTTCCGTGGCTTCCTGAATGAGCTTCCTGCACTTGACTGTTCCGTCGCACAAGACGTCCGCAAGCACTCGCGTAATTTGATCGGAGAAACACGTGTTAACGTGAATGCCGACGCGAGAACTCGCCCAAATAGAACAACGTTATCTTAAAGTATTTCATTTTATTATATAAAATTAGGTCAGGATAACTTTATTTTCGGTAAAAAAAATTAAGTTTCTGTTTACTGAAAAGGTTATCTAATGTCCGTCCGAAAGATAACTTTTAATATCCAAAAAGATATCATTTAGATATAAAAGTATCAATTGGTATATGGATATAAATTAAATGTATACCAAATGATAACTGTAAGATGCGTAAATGAACTAGCTATTAATGAACTGTAAACTTTATTTAATCAATATCATATTAATGGAGACGAATTATTGACATTGACTTGTCATTTTATAGATACGTTCCAAAAGTTAGCTTCAAGAACGTTAATCAATAGGCAACCTGTTCTATTTGGGCGGATTCAGTATCTCAAGACCCGACGATACATTTTAAACATCTCCGAAGAGATTTGTAAACCACGTACCGATACGCGAACTCCGCGTCGTCGCATGCGCATCGTACGCTGGCTCGAGGCACAATGGACGCAGTCGCGGAGAGTACGCGGCGTGCGAAAATATCAAAACAACGTTCGAAAACAGACAGAGCCACCTTCCGCCGATTACCGGCCGTTGTCGTTCGTCAATCAACGGCCTTGTTTACACGTGGTCGGGGAGAGTATGCGAAACAACGTTCGAAAAGGACCAGCAAACTACATACTGTATATACATACTGGAATGTTTAGTCAAATGGGAAGAAACGGACCGAGTGAAAGGGAAAACAGGAACCGTTTACTCTCTTTCTATTGTTATATTATTCGATCTGAAAATGTCGGCTTGAGCGGTTTGGGTTTAGAGACGATATTCATAATATCTTTATAACGGTTGCATTCTGAAATTTATAATATACGTGACATAAACTATAAATTTCCAGTACTGGCAGTAAATTTCGGAATACAGTTAAAATAGAAAGAAATATTTTTGTAAAGAATAATTGTAAGCGGAAAAGAGCATAGAAATTTTCAACCAATCAAAAATCACTAGATAGAGAAACAAGCGATGCCTTCTAGAGATGGGACATCGAACAGAAATGATCGATTATAAGCTATAATCGGTATTGGTATCGCCCATCTCTAGCAGGTAAAACGATAGACGGGCGGATAAGCCAGCGCGAGCGAGATGGCGAAGCGAGCAACTGCGGTCGGCGCGACGAGGACGGCGAGTGGGTGATCGCGCCCGAAGCTTGCGCTCGGCTGTAGAGATGGGACATAATAAAAGAAATAATGAATTATAAGCTATAATCGATATCGATATCGCCCATCTCTAGTGCCTTCACCAACCTATTTCTTTCTTTTCTGCCCGGCTTCTAAGCATTGCAGTAAGCCTTCTAGTATGTATTGGGAATGTGCATTAATTTTAAGGGATTTTTTGATAAAAATACGGCTTTATTGTGAAAAAATGGTTACAAATTGATCATTCAAAATATTGTCCATCGCTAGCCACTACTTTTTCCCATCTTTCTAGTAATAGGTGAATTCCACCTATTACTTACCTAAGATGTGTCGAAAGAATGACACATCTTTTGAGGCTATCCACGAATCGACCCATTTTTTGATAACCTCATAAGAATGGAAGCGCTGCTCAGACAGGCCATGAGTCATCGATTGAAATAGGTGGTAATCAGAAGGAGCAATATCTGGAGAATACGGGTGTGGTAGGACATCCCAGTTAAGCGCTTCTAACGTTTCCTTGACCAGTTTCGCAACATGTGGCTGCGCGTTGTCGTGCTGGAAAATCACTTTATCGTGTCTTTTCGCATAATCTGGCCGTTTTTGCTTCAATGCTCAGCTCAATTGCATTAATTGTTGTTGGTAACATTCCCCAGTGATGGTTTCGTTGGGTTGTAGCAGCTCATAATATACTACACCCAGCTGATCCCACCAAATACAAAGCATGAGCTTGGCGCCATAAATATTTGGCTTTGCCGTCGATGTTGATGGTTCGCCTGGCTTGCACCATGATTTTTTGCGTTTAGGATTATCGTAGCGTATCCATTTTTCATTACCCGTCACGATACGATACAAAAAACTTTTTCTTCTGTCTTTGAAGCAACAATTCACAGGTTATTTTGCGCCTTTCGACGTCCCTCGGTTTCAACTCGTACGGCACCTAATTTCTTTGCTTTTGAATCATTCCAATGGCTTTCAAACCTCTGGAAATCGTTGATCGATCAACATTTAATGATTCTGCAAGTTCTTTTTGCGTTTGACTCGGGTCTTGATCGAGTAAAGCTTCCACTTCCTCATCTTCAAACTTTTTCGGCTGGCCTTGACGTTTCTTGTCTTCCGTGTCAAAATCACCTTTTTTATAGCGTCCAAACCAGTACTCATTTATTGAAATCGATGGAGTATAATCACCATAAGCTTCCGACAGCATTCGTTGAGTTTCAGCAGCACTTTTCTTCAAATAGAAGCAAAAAAGCAAAGCTTCCTGCAAATTGCGTTTTGTTGGCACAAAATTCGACATATTCAATGCTGAAAAGAATGTTATTTACACTTCGGCAAAATGACACATACTGAAAACTAAAGCCACATGATGGTGCTTTGACATGAAGATAGCAACAATATGGTCCGATGCGATATAGTACTAATTACGCCATCTCTTAAAAATCCTTTAAAATTAATGCACACTCCCAATATATAGTTTACTGAAAAGGACAGAGTCACCAATCGTTAACGATTGTATCGTCCGCCAATCAACGGTCGCTTTTTACTAAGAAATAAAATTTTAAATAAAGCTTTTATTGGTTATATATTACTTATGCATCTATATGTTATTTTAGATATCTTCTAAGATGACATATAGCCAATAAAATATTTTCATATAATATACTATTTTTTATTTACTAGAAAATGGCAAATGACAAACGATAGCCGAAAGTTTACGGTAATGAACGATCTTAAAACATATCAAACTATGGAGAAATAGTCAGATTATTAAATTATAAGGACAATTGCGGATACGTGTTGCTTGTAATGTTCAATCATCTCATCAGTTAACGTGTGAATACAAATTAGATCTGTCTTTTGTGTAACTAGTGTACACGGAACTTAATAAGAAATAGAAATACAGGACCCGTATTCTTAAAATAGTTGTGTATACGTTTCATTGCGCAGTTATTTTAAGATGAGATTATATTTGCCCTAACAGCACATATGTATTAGTTGGCAGATGATTGGCTGTTGTAGATTCTACATTGGTCAAATGCTTTGTGCTGCTCGGGTGCGCAACAAAACTTACGTAAATGCAACTTTTTCAAGAATACGGGCCCTGCTGACTGGGTGTAAAGAGAGAAAGAGGATTAATGCACGCTAGTGCAATCAATTCAGATAAAAATTAAGCTTGATGGAATTTATAGGATTAATATAGAATTAAAATTTTAATTTAGGATTTCATCATTATTTTATGATTGCTTAATCTACCTGACACATCATTAAAATACAAGTCCTTTTGACTTATCCATCACCCCTTATGAAACATTTCGCGAGAAATTGTCCGCGAATATCTTCTTATGACGTTTACATCGAGGAGACTGGAGAAGATATTGACACAACACGGTTAAACTTTGTTTAATACAAATAGATCTTTGAACGCTTCAAAAATCTCGGTCGTGCAAACAGAATCTCATAGATGATCCATGTATCACAATATCGTCGTTCTTCTCGTCACGCGAGGATAATCACCTATAAATATGTCACGTGAAACGACGAAGTTGCCAGGTCGTGACACTCGGCACGATTGTTCGCAAAACAACAGGATATGCAAGCTGCTGCTGTCGGAGTACTATGAGTTCCTCGAGACAATCTTGGTGGAATCACCGTTCGCGGAGACCACGAGGAATGGACGTGGGTTGCGTCAAGTTGCTCTCGGTCTCACACCAACCAGGTTGATCGTCGCTGCTGACGTTCTTCAGCCTAATCCCGGCTTCTTTTGCCCGCTTGGTATCGACGCGAGTATCGAGAGCTTTGAACTTGTGTCCGTATATCCGCTGGAGTACGTTCAGCTGAGCGTATTCGGGAGGAGACGTCGCAGAACTCTAAAGGCAAGGTATACTCCTTTGTTGAATGAAGCGAAGAGCGCAAATGAGAAATTCTGTTCTCCGTTTCTACTTATTAGAGACAGAAATTAATTTGTTTGCACTGCGATGTCTCTAATAAAAATAATAGCCATAAAAAAATTGATTAAAAGTAACCAAGTTATTTTTCTGAGTCATCGATCCTTTTGGACGGAATACTTCTCTAAGATTTCTGCATTCAGAGTTGCTTTAAGCATTACATTCGTCCAGATTCATCAACGGTCGCGCTAATTATTACGAGCTCGGTGGTGTGAAGCGTAGACTTCACTGGAAGATTTGGTGCGAGCAGGTGCGGAGATTGTTGGCGCGCAAGATGAATGGTAGTTCGTTATCCGAAACGACGGCGGCGAGCTCGTCGAGCAGCAGCGCGTTGTATCTATTGTCGTCAGAGATCGAAATCGAGGATAATTGCGACACGAGATGCGCGAAGCCAATATTCAGGTGCGAATTAATTGCCTGCGAATTGATTTACGTTTCGCTTGGATTGTTGATCGATCATATAATCCGCCTAACAACGTCAATTCGCGTAAGAAATTTGCTGACAAATCGATTCTTTTCCTTCGACTGAGCTTGTAGATAGTATCATTTATTTATAAACAAGTACAGGATATGGACACGCTACGGAGGTGCCGGTGACTACGTTACACCCACTTGGACGGAGAAGGATTTGTATCTCGGGCCGTCTTTCAATGAATTGGTAAACGGTCATTACACACCTGTCCCGATAAGATTCGCTGGGATCAGCTTGGAGGACCTCAAGTACGAGCTGAAGGACTACACGCCGTGTCGCGTCGCTTGCGAGAGATCTTGCCACAGTTGGCCGTGTCAAACGAAGTTCGGCAGGCGGGCGAAATCGCAACGCGACAGCGGACTGTGCAACGTTATCTTCGCGAGAAATCACAATGCGCGTCGTTGTGAGCATATCGTGAGCTGCAAAAGCTCACCTTGCAATATTTGCAAACTGGACGACAGTGTCGGCATTAAAAAACACTGCCGATGTCACGGTGAGAACATTCGCGCTTGCAAAGACGTCGATTCCTTTATATCCTTAGAAATATTAAAGAAATAATTGCCAATTCAGAAATTAAACAATAAGATAAAACGAGGAATTTGAGAAATTCACATTCAAATGTGGACACTTTACGATTTAATTAAAACATAAATAATTGATTAATAACAAGTAAATGATTGAAACTTGCCAGAGCGCCAGAATTTGCTGTCCGAAGAGGATTTCAGGAAGCACACGGAGAAAAAGCATGAAAGACGTTCTCAACAACATAGGAAAGGATTCTTGACGTCGAAAGTGTCGCGTTTCGGCTTCGGTGTGCCGGAGAAATGCCACTCCGGACTGATACTCGGGCCTTTTCGTGGTGATCCGGATTACATCCAGGCTTCCAAGGTCCCCGCGCATCGTGCTATTGACCCTTACGAGTTGATCGAGAGCGGTGTAACGGTGTGGGAGGGTGGCCGCGAATCGTCCAAAAACCAAAAACATCCGAGGAGATACGCCTTCGCTTCGGCGGCGCACTTCCTTTACGCTCTTGGACCGTGGTCTGTGCAACCCGGCGAGCGCGATTCCGTGCAGACGTTGCGATCATCGAGCGTGGTCAATATTCGCAAACAGTCCTCGGATCCGGAATTAAGATTACCTTTCTCGCGTCGTCAATTGACAGCCAGTGTCTCCTACGCCGCTTTAACGTCTGGTGGCATCGTTGGCACTGTCACCAGAGGACGAGTGACGCTATTTTGGACACCCGAGTACTGGTATAGACCTCAAGCAGCGGCGGCCGCCTACAGGTGATGCGGAATATCCGTCATCTCTTACGCATTCGTATTAACGCGTTGGCTGGCTGGAAGAATTTCCGTCTAGTTAGTTGGCAAAGGATCGTGTCGCAAAATTGATATTAATTTCGAAATCTTTCGAGAAATTAGATTCAAACCAACTCAGTCGTGGACAATTTCTCATGTGACAATTATGTGACAGAGAGCTGAGAAATCACTTGGCGTCCCTCCAAGATTTCCGTCGTGGGAAAGAGAAGCGGGCGAGGAGGAAGTTCTTCGGCAGACGAGGAGGTCAGGGTTCAGAGGAGACCGGTAATTCCGAGGTCACAATGGTGACGGGAAAGTCGAGCGGTTTCCTAGAACGCATGTTGTCCATCAATGGTGCGCGTAAACGTGACAAAACAACGAGAGAGAATGTGGATGTGGACAAAAGCACGAAACAATTGCGGAGACTATTAAGGATGAACCTGCGCGTCACCGCGTGGGACCTCGACAGTGGCACGTTAGCGACGCAACTGACGATGATCGATCGCGATCTGTTCGTACGGATCCCCGTGAACGAGATCGAGGTCTTGATCTACCAAAGATCGTCCCGCAACGCGCCAAATCTGGGCGCGTGGATCGCCTTCAGCCATAGGATCGCTTGTCTGACCGTCAGCGAGATCCTTGCGACTAAGAAGCTCGACATGAGGACCAGGATCATGGCGAGGTTCATCAATGCTGCCGAAAAATGTCTCGCGTTGGGTAACTTTCAGTCGTGCAGGTCCCTCTTGGCCGGTCTTCAGGCTCCGCCGATTCACAGACTCCGAAGAAGCTGGTCCTATTTGCGAACTCATCATGCTAGCAGGTTCGTTAACGCGTGTGTGATTCGCGCAATACTAAAGAGCACATTACATAAGTTTCTATTTAAAATCACATTCACGCATGCTTTCAAAAGTAACTTATAATAGCGCAAATAACGCTTCCATGGATCCTTCTTGTAAATAGTTTCCTTTCTGTTACACAAATGAATTTATATGAATGAATTTATATGAATTTATATGAATGAATTTCTTCTTGTAAATAGTTTCCTTTCTGTTACACAAATGAATTTATAGATATGTAAATTTTTTATCTTTTCCAATTTTCATCCCTTAGTGAATATGCTCTCCTAGATATGAATCGATGTTTTAGATATGAATCGATGGAGAAGCTTTCCAAGATTTATAAGAGTTCACGTTGTTCAAAATATCAGAGAACTTGGGCCGCAGCGGAGCGCAGACCACCTTCTATGCCGTACGTTGGGCACTTTTTAGTCAAAATTCTCGGATTAAATAGTTTGCGAGAAATCCGAACGAATGCTGCGTCACCTACGAGGAAACAGTCAATTGTTAAAATTGCTTACACTTCATCTTTAACCGTCAACAATAATGTCGCTGATCTTTGCTTGAAGGATGAACAAAGTTTAATGGAACCCAAGCAATGTCTAGCCAGACGCTTTTTCGCGGCGACATTAGCCAGGATAAAGTTCACGACGCGCAAAAACATCGTTAACGAGATTGAGAACAATGTTTGGACACTTAGGCAACGCTATTTAGCGCGCAAGTTCTTCTACCGTTGGAACATCATTACGTTAGCATCGAAAACGCGTATTGAGGACGAAAAAAGATCAGCGAAGAATGCAGACTCAAAGAGCAAACGGGTTCTCGATGTTGCTGCCTGGTTGACAGACTGTCAGAGGTCCGCGCAAACTTACAATTTTCCGCTGCACTCGTTTGCACATGAATTTCTCTTAAAAGCGCGTTACAGAGAAGATCGCGAGAATTTCTTTATCAGTCTTAAGCTGGAACCGCCAACGGTAAACAAAATATAACCCCTTAAAGCTTGACGTTTAATGATAAAACACAAGATTTTTCATCGAAATTCGATAAGAATTAAGTACATTGTTCTGTTCTTATGGATCAGAAGATTACATATTGGACACAGGACACTATTACATCTAACGTAATGAAATACCTTTAAAACATTGAACGTTATCGGTTGTTTATCTATAGCTTTAAACTCTCCTCACATAAAACAATGATCCTTAGCCTTTATTCAGTATTATATATACATATATTTGTGCAAATAATTTATATACCTTTATCTGGGACGCGTCATATTCTTATATGCTTTGTACGGTTGTTATTGCTACAACACTTTAATAAAAAAGATATGATTAGACATTGTGCTCTATTTACATTAATTGATGAATACTCATTTCTATCACTTTGTGTTGTTACGATTCCTTGTCTCGCTGAAGAAAGAGGAAGGATCAAGGCGACTTCTTTATCACCGTTTTATTCCGAACATGGTGTATACAATTGTTACTTTACATAATATTATATGTATATATATATTTCTCTTTATTTTAAATTCATCAGTCGTAAACTTAAAAAAGAGTGTATTATGATGGGCGGAAGAGTGAATCTCGAACTGAAAGATCGGTATCAGATTCTGACTAGATAACAACGCAGTTTCGTGTATATACAATAATGAAGTATACGTTATATTGTTAACAAAAATTGAAGAGTAACGTAATATATACAATATATAGAACAAGGGGAACAGTCTTTTTCTGGCACGAAATCGAACGTAATCCTCCATCGATCGCGTCGCGATCGCAGAAGCTTCTTTCTCAATTTTGGAAATGTACAAATTTAGATTATATTGTATATTTTTGTATTGTATGTGTGTGTAGGTGTGTGTGTGTATGTATATATTTATATATAGAGGTACTCAATTTCAGGGAGGACTTGCCCGAGTGTCTCCCTGAATGATTATCTCGCACGACAAATCTCTTTCACTGTACACATTCAGAACAAATATATATGCATATATTAACATTCAAGATCGCAATTAGAGCTTGCGCGAGTTCGCGCGACTTTCTCAGTTATTAGGACGAGCGTGCGCGCGCACGCGCGTCCCACTCTCATGTTCTACGAAGAAATAGACGTAGGTAAAGCGGTTTATCGGTGCATAATAGGACTCTCTGCGCACTTTTTGACACTAACACGAAATGCTTTCCCAAATGCATCGCATCGGAATGCACGTTGCCGCCTCGCCGAGTCCCTGCGCGAAATACATCGCTCTATCCGGTACTTTAACATGAGGTCTCACTACGCACAGGTATTAGAATAAAATTTCACGGAGTATCAAAATAATTATTCGTGCTAATATCGGAGTTCTCTTCTACAAATTGATCGCAGTAAGTTCAAGAGGAATTGTTCGTTTGAACGTTAACGCTATTCGACCCTTAATTAGCCGTAGCGACCCTGCGCGCGCGTTCTGACGAGATGCGGCGTGTAGAGAAAATATCGAGAGCCACCACGATTTAAATATCTAACATCCCTTCTTTTTACAACAAGTCCGTCGTAGTAGAGTCGACTATTTATTACTTTGGATTAGAGGTAAAGGCCGTGTAAGTTTATTTTAGCGAGAGGCGAGCCGAACGCACGTTCGCGCGACTAACCAAGGGTCAACTCTTGCTTTCAAGACTTCTCAAGTGTCCTTAAGCCTATCGTCGAGCCAATTCCGTGTCGGAGGTCAATTGATCCGACAATCCGGGCGCGCATCAGTCGAGTAAAGACGTTGAGTAGAAGCGTCGAATCGCGAAACATGCTGCTGCTTTTTCTTCAAACTGCTTGAGAAGGTAGCCGGCATCGTCTGGTCGTACGACAGCCCGGCTTAAATCACATGCCGCCGGGTTTCGGAAGATTTGTGTCGTATGCCCTGATCACGTCTGTCTGGGTAACCGAGCCACCCTCCTCTTGCGAGAACGCGAAACCATCTGCATCGCGCAGCATGCGCAATAACAAAGGTCGCAAATCATTAAACGCTGTCGTGAGAAGGATTGATTAGTTGAGCGTGCGAGAAGAAAAGGTCGGAAGTGTTAATCTTACAGCCCGTCATTATATGCCTAACGATGAACGACCGATTCGACAATCTCTCTTTGATACATTCCCGAATTTGCGTGTTAGCCCATCACTAGACATATGTCTGTTTTCTGTAGTGTAGCAGCCGGTGAAATTTCGAAAGTGTCGCGAGACGTACGCTACTCGTAGAGTTCCGATAAAGCGCTATTTATAGCATACTAGAACTAGAAGAAAGACATCTAATCGAATATAAAATTCTACCAATTTTGAAAGTATAGCGAGATATGTATGTACATGGCATCTCAGAAGCGAACGCGCTTCCGCTCGATTGCGGGGAAATATTGCGCAAGAGAGAACACACGTGTGTGCTCTTGAGGGACAATCGAGCAAGCGCGCGGCTTCTGGCACACCTGGCGCAAAGTAACGCATCGGCTGCTGAACGGAATATAACTTGAAATTATAGAATAACGGTGCAAGTGCGAAAAAAGTGCGACTGGTAATATCTGTCGAAGACACGTGCGAGAAATAACAATTTATAAAACTGCACTCGTCGATAAAATAAAGCTTGCTTACGGACGGACGGACGGACGGACGGACGAACGAACGAACGAACGTACGTATAGACGGACGAGAAACGTCATGAGAAATGCCGTGAGAAATGAAGCGCGCGTGCCAAAATGTGGAATATAAATATGAGAAAATACAATCGACATATCGTGGTGAGGTTTACCTAGTGAGAAAAAAGTCCGCGATATCGTCGAGTTCGCGCGTTGAGAATAAATACGACTCTCGAGAAAGAGAGAGAAAGAGAGAGAGACGTATTAGGAGGATCCGCCCGAGTATCGCGCAAAATACAGGAAGAATTTTTCCCCGGCATGATTCTGTGGAAAAGACAACTTACGTGATAGCTCCACCTCGACATTGACTCTGGAGGCGGCGTTCGAGCGCCTGGTGAAAACACTTTTAACGTTTTTCAGCAGCCTCGCCGTTTCCGTCAATCTGCAAAGCCGGGTACATTCAGGAATGATTTAGAGATTCTCGGCTGACAAGAGAACTCCCCCATCGTCCATATTACGCCTCTTTCAGTAAGGGTTACGACGAACTATAAATTTTCTCTCTTTCCCTTTAACTTTCTAATCGTCTGTAATTCTGTTACATTTATAGGCACCTATATACAGTATACACATAAACTCGTTTTCGACCGACGAACTTTCCGAGTTCAACGAGTTTCGTAAACGTAATTCTCTTCCATTGAGAATTTACGACGATTTACAACGGTTGTATAATAGTGAGTAGTGCAATGTGCAATATCATCGTGCGGGAATTAAGTAAAAAAAAAGTGGCAAGAAGAGCGATAATCGTATATGCAGGTAAGTAAAGGGTTGTCGATTTACTTTCAAACAGATATCTCACACGCATATCGCCGCAATTAACGAAATTCAATTAAGACGTGCGCGCCACTAAGAAGCCGGGTGTCGCACAATTTCAAGCGGGTAAAATAAAATATAATTGTATCTTACTGCATGTACGCTTATTTCTCCGTTAGGGAACTATCGTCTCAAGCTGTACACGTGAGGGAGTTGCGTGATTGCCATTTAAAATCGCCGTGTCGTGCGCTTTTACTTAGCGAGACATCGAGATACGTTCATCATGCGTTCTCGTTAAATTGGCAGTGTTCGGAGATACGGAAGATATATAAGTGGGAGCGCTGCGAATTATACATACTACTAGGGGAGGGGGTACTTACACCTCGCGAGATCGGCGATGGCATGCACAGGCCTGCACGGGATACCACGGGAAGAAAACATATCAAGAAAACCGCATTAACGAACGGCAGATCGTGTACAGTGAACATTAGTATAAAGTAACGAATAGGTCATTAAATCTACAAGCACTGTTACTTCAACAGAGAAAGAGGGGCTGGGATGTATATGGGCTTTTACAATAATGCTCCATGATTCTAAATTTCTATTCGGCATGAGTATGTGCATTCAGTACTGTAAACGCTCAGTGAGTTCTTGTACTTGGTTGATGCTACTTTCAGATTTGATCAAGACCTAAAAATACAAAACAATCAAATCCGAAAGGTCACTGAGCGCTTAGTGAACAGTACTGGTACTGAATGTACTAGTATCTAAATGTGGAGGTCTGAATACAATGAAGTTAAATTTAGCTCAATTAGAGGATTCCTTTTGTGCACGTATGTATACAAGGTTGAAAAATACCAAGTGGTATGGCTTATATTACCTAAAATTATATAAATGCGCACTACGTGCTATATACAAAAACAGAGATAAATATCCGGTAATATCTGGTACGTATTGTATTCTAATTAATATTAGTAGTTAAGGCTCCTGGGGAGTTGCATCATCCATCTCTTTTTAATGACGTCAGAAGCGAGAAAACGCATGCTAAAAATTCCTGCAAAATACGTCGAGATAAACAGATATATCCACAAAACGACATTTGCGATCGATTAAGTACACCTCTAAAATACTCCGTACACTTTCCTTTTGTTCTAAAAATCAATAGATAATCGGAAAATTAATATGACAAGATAATGAGGAAATTAGGTTAGAAAAGACGATTGCACGTCACATTTATTTTATAATTATCTGTTGATTGTTAGAACAAAAGGAAAGTGTACGGAGTATTTTAGAGGTGTACTTAATCGATCGCAAATGTCGTTTTGTGGATATATCTGTTTATCTCGACGTATTTTGCAGGAATTTTTAGCATGCGTTTTCTCGCTTCTGACGTCATTAAAAAGAGATGGATGATGCGACTCCCCAGGAGCCTTAATAACGCACAGATATTAGTAGCTAATAACGAAAGAGAGAAATTAAATAATGATAAAAACAGGAATTAAATTGTTTTGCGAATATATCGTACAATAAAATTTGTCGTCATTATGCTATAGGACATCATATATTTTCTTCAAAAGTAATATAATATAAATAATTAAATTAAGGTATGTTAAGGAAATTATACAAGAGGTTTTATTATATATCATAAAACAATAGGGAGGAAGAGATGGAGCTATAATAAATATTAAAATTAATAAATATCGTGATTATATTAAAATTAAGTAACATGTAACAAATTATAAAAAAAAATACATAATAAATAAACCAGTTAACGTAAAATAAAAGATTTCACAAATAAAATATAAATATATTTTTTAGTCCACGTAATTGTATCATTTACAGCGCATATACGTACGGAAAAATATCGTAGATATACGAATATCATTTAGTATATTAGACAAATTATCGCATCAAATTAATTGCGATATTTTTGTACTCGAGAAAAATATATTAGATTGGCATTAATGTTTAAACATATCAGAGACGTCGATTGCACCAATGAGTGAGTTAGCACTAATATAAATTAGCTGGACTTTTTTTATCTTTATATATTAAGAGACGCGGTAGCGTCTCGCGCCAATGTGTATAACTACACAGATAAAATTGAAACTATTTGTACATAAAAAGAGGTAAAGAATTACTAACAACTTAGTGTTATTGGATAATTAATTCCATATGTATGTATGTATGTATATACATATATATATATATATATATATATATATATATATATATATATATATATATATATATATATATATATATATAACACACA